GAGGGGTGTGCCGGAATGGGCGTGGGTGACGCATGCGGGCGGTGGCACTGGGCCCTCGGTGGAGCTCCCCGTGGGGCAACGAAAAGTTGTATTTCGTGGGTGAAGCGCAGGGAGGAGGGGGAGGAGGAAGGAGGCGGGAGGAGGAGAACGCGGGGCGCCGTCTCTTCAAAACGAGGACCCAACACCACAAGATGGTTAGGAGATGGTCAACAAATCGTCCCCATATGTTTTGCCTGTGTTTGAACATTCCTCCTGCGTAGGGACACGCCCTACTTGCGTAAGTTTTTTCAGATTTCGTGTCTTGCATGTTTATCGAGACCAGCCTCACTCACATGGCTAGACCCCGACGCGCTCCCCACTTTCCTCCCCCCCCCATCCACCACCCGCTCCTCGTCCTCCTCCACGTTGTCCCCCCTGTCCCTTCTCTCCCTCCCTCCCTCCCTCTTTCAAGGGCAACGTTGCGGGGGAGACGCTCAGGGGAGGACGCATTGAACCCCAATCCCCCACTCATTGACGAGGGGGGTCTGATAGCACACCTTTCCCAGGATCATGCGGCTTCCCCATCGGAGGGGTGTTGCTGATCTATCGGCGACTTAGCGCCGATTCTGGCTCGATGTTCCCCCCCTGAGCTGGTCCCCCCTTGTCCTTCCCCCTCACTCCTCTCTCCCTCCCTCAATCCTCCCCGAAAACCTGGCTGCATGATATTTGTACAACGTGGACCCCTTCTCGGGCACCGGCTTTTCATCCTGGGTCTTTGTTTGGCGGTCCCGAGGCCCAGCAAGAGCCCTTGGAAACCAGAAATAATTAGCAGAAACCCTCCGTCGTGATTTTGTTCACCCCTCGACGGCGGCGGCGGCGGCAGCGGGGTCCGCGAAAAGGGTCCCCCAGGTCGCCCAACTCAGGCTGGCCCTGAGGCACAGCGAGGCGGCCAACGCCGCGCTGCTGCGGAGACTCGCAGGCGCCCGGCACCCGAGGGGGGAGCATTGTGGGGAGGGTTCCATTCCTCTTCCTCCTCCTCCTCCTCCTGCTCCTCCTCCTTCTCCTCTTCCAGCTCCTCCTCCTCTTCCTCCTCCTCCTCTTCCTTTCCTCCCCCTCCTCCTTTCCTCCTCCTCCTGTTCTCTCTGGAGGCACTGCGTGTGAGCACTCTTCTACACGGGTGGTCGGGTCCATCTCGTCCCACTGACGCCCTTCGAGAAATTTATACAGGTCAAGGGGATTGGTCTTGAGAGCTGCCGTGCGCAAAGCTTGCCAGCCCATCGAGCCCCAACGCACCCAGATGGCTCCCCTTGTGCAAGCATGCGCCTTGGCCCGGCATCTCCCTCACCCTCCGCCCAACGGAGCGCGCGCAAACACAGGAACGTCGTGAGTCTTTGGTGCAGGAGCCGAAGTCACCTTCTCGGCGTTAGGAAGCGACGCCATGTATTTCATTTCCGCCAGTTGCCACGATGACGGCGCCTCCTTGCCCCACCACGGTTCTGCGGGATGCTCCATGAGCCCAGGACTCACGTTGGCTTCGCACGCAATCAGGACACGTACATCGTTAGAAGCAACGCATTATCTAGCTCGATGTTTTGTCTCTCGAAAGGGTAGTCAAGGCCTCCACCCCCCACAGTGCCCCCCGGGCACACACCCGCCTCCAGACGCGATTTGTTCCCGCAAGGTTCCAGGTGCATCTATGGCCTGGTCAAGGCAGCACTACACGAATGGAGAAAACAGCGTGCAGCGAGCGGTGCTGGCGCCCTGGCTGGGGGCGCGCAGATGATCAGCGCCCAGAGACCCCCAGACGAGAGGCCCCTCGCTCGCAGTCGAGCTGCCCAGGGGGCTGCGCCTGCAGCACGGCTCGGACTCCACCAGGTCAGGGCGAAGTTGCGCGGCAGGCGGACCATGGCAGGCCCGAGCCCCCGTGGTCACTGAAGAGCGCCAGGTGCGCGCAGGAAAGAGCGAACAGACAGAAGCGGGTCGCCACGGTCGAGGCCGTGCCTCCGCGGCGCTCAACCTGAATCGTCAGAGCCCTCCCACGCACTATCGGGCGCAAAACACGAGCTGGAGGTGGTCCCAGCGGCGGCTGTAAGCCGCTGGACCTTGAACTGGACGTTGCCTTCCTGACGCAATTCGCGAGCGACCATTGAGAGTTGGGGGTTGGGCGGCGAGGCGGGGAGAGGACTGGAGTGAGCAGGGTCGGGAGCGAGGCGATCACCTTCAACAAGGACCCTTGCGGAGTCTTTGCCAAAGTGTGGGTGAACGCCACTTAGGACACGCTTCCACTTCGAGGCCCGCCGACAGCCCATATTTTCCGGCCGCCCCTTTGAGCGCACATGGGATTGCAAGGGCGAGCTTTTCGCAGATATACGATGTGCAACGCATGCAACTTTCCCGCCGGGACCAGCCCGCATAGCTAAAGGCAACGAGATAGTGCTTGTTCGCAGCAACATCACTTAAGTCCAGACCGCCATCTTACCCCAAACATTTCCGAGACGGACGTCTCGGGGGAGTGAAAAGACGAAGGTCGGCGCAGGAGACAGCCTTTCTCGTGGCCCTGGAACGCCGAGCGCAGCGCCGCGCCCCCGCGACCCACTCGAAAGAGCATTCCCGCCGAGTCCCCAGAACAGGTTTTTGCACCGTCACACAGTCAACATGCACATCTGACTTGAGGGAAGGAAATAGCGGCATTAAATTCATGGTTGGTTTGCAGAACGCATCAGCATACTTGATCTGCCTGCCCACTCCGCCCGGGAGCCGGCTGTCCACCGGGTGCGATGAGACGGCTTCCTCGGCGCCTAGGTCGGCCAGGTGATTGCCCAGTCTCGGAGACGATTCCCCCTCTGGCAGCTCGAGCTCGCGCAGCGACCGGCGCGCTTCAGAGATTCAGCTGCTCGAGGGGCCCGTCTCCCGCGGGCGCGAGCGGGGCACTTCGTTTCGGCCCGCCGAGCACCGCTTGCGAAAAATCAAGAATTGCGGCGCCAGGCTGCTCGGCGCAATTCCTTGCTGAGGCGTTTAGCACAGGGGCCGCCCGCAAAAATGCCCCCTTCAATTTGATCAGGGCCTGGGGGGGTCGACGAACCATTGCGCGCGCCGGGGCCCTTCCGACGGCGGGGCGGGGCGGCCGTCTCCCGGGCGCGGGGCCCCGCCTCCGCTGGCGGCGAAGCGCAGGCTGCGGTTGGTGGCTAACGAGTCTAGCTCAGTCAATCAACAGCTCCGAAATCACTGCTGCTTCTTGATAATCCTGAACTCTGGGGCACTTCCACCACCGATGTAGAAACGCATCTCTCACGCCACATCCAAGGGGGCACTCTTTGGGGCAACGGTGCGCCTTTCGGGAGCGCATGGGCCCTGGTCCAACGGGCGCCCGCGCAATCAGTCCTCGGTGTAGCTTCCCGTTGGGTCGAGTGTTTTTTCGACGCCGCGCGCCCCAGGGCCGCGTCGACGCGCGCTCGATTGGCGAGGAAAAACTGGGCGCCGATCTGCCGCTCTAACCGGCGCAGGGCAGCGTTGAACAGCAACTGTTTCAGCGACGCGAGCGACTGCGGCGCGAGACAGAACTCAAACCTAAGTCCGCGACAACCGCGGCAAAGTTCGGCACCGCCCAGCCCGGGCGTTCAATCGGCGTCCTCAGAGCCGGCCAAGGGCCCGAGGCAGCCCTCCAAGGTCGCGGAGGTTTCCTGGGATATGGGGCAAGACGGGCGCACCTGCCGTCTGTAATTTCAGATTTCTTTAAGCCGCCGAACAACGGGGGCGCCTGAACCTGTCGAGTTTGGTCTTGTTCCAACCTGAGCGTCATAAACAGATCGGTCGCCCGCCTGGGGTTCCAAGATCGGCGCGAGCGAACGGCGATGGCGCAGGAGCTCAGCTTCCGAAACTAAATGAGTCTCCGCAGCGGAAGTCGAGGCAGAGAGAGGACCAGAGACCCACACCGCGCGCGCCCGACGACCCGCGCCGCCCGTGAGACGCCCAAGCCTCTGCGCCCTAGCTCGCGCATTCCGCCGTCGAGCCTCGGGCTTCGCATTCAGTCAGGTCTTTGCGGCGCAACCTCTTTCCAGCGCTGTCGTCGGCGCCGGGATGCTCGCGAGCGGAGAAGACGGGCCCCGCGAGGGCCCCCCCGATCTGCCTCCGAATTGCCGAGCGGAGGGAACGGCTCGACACGAGCAAAGCAGCTTTATATTCGGCGAGCGTCGCTCTTATATCCTCGCGCACCACCCTCTTCAAGCCCCCGGACCCTGGGCGGCCCCGCGGAGAGCTTCTCGATGGGTGCCCGCGGCGCGAATGTCGCTGCCATCAACGCACTGGCTGCAGCCCACGCAAAGATGCCACGCGGCAGGGCCAGGCCCGACAGCGAGTTAAACCGGATAGAAGTCGCGGCGAACGGACGGCCAGCGACGACGCCTCTCGGCCCGCACAAGGCCACGCCCCGCACGCAGCTCAACCCCGCATGCCTCGGAGCGCGGCGCCTCTGGCAAGCGAGGCGGGCGTCGCCCAAAGGGAAACCGTGCAGCTCGCGTCGAGCGAGCGCCTCCCCACTGGAAAGAGATTGAGGAAGTCCCGCAGGAGCGGGGCCGAACGCCGCCCAGTGGCGACCCTCCTTCGATGAGGAGGGCTGGCCGCAAGATGATGTCAGACGCTCCCGCGCATTTCCCCGCCGCGAAGCAGGGCCCCTGGCGCGCCTGCCCCCTGCCCCGACTGCCGGCGGCCTGCCGACCAGCCCCCGAAGGCGGAAGGGGCCACAAAACATGCCGGGGGGGCTGAAGCCTCGGAGAGGTTTTGGCAGAAGCGTCGACGCGACGATGAAAAACAGAGAACGGAGGAGCGAGGAGACTTCCATCACATTGCATAGGAACAGGAAGACCTCCAGAGCCTCATCCGAGAGCCATCCACATTTTATGCATGTGGAACCAGTCGGCACTCACGGCAGACCTCCCTGCCCCTGCATGCGTTTTGCTCGCGGCTCGAAGGGCGTCGACGCAAGCGGTTTTAAATTCGGGGTAGGGCCTGAGGGGCAGGGGGGGCAGTGGCGGACTGCCACAGGGCCTTGAACTCGGCCGCTTCCGAGGCCAATATCGAAAGGGTGTTGCTGGCAATCGTGCAATCATTTGCCAAAGCGGCTGTTGCCTACCAGGCGCGGGGAGACAATCACCTGCTCCGGCACGAGAGAGAGTAGCGCGTGCAGCCTCAAAGCCAGCGGCAACATCTCTCTGCGTGACGCTGCCTTCTTGACCAGACCCCCTGGCACAAAATGCGGGAAAAGAACTGGTGAGTTCAGAGTGAAGCTTCCACTATATTCATCCAAGCGGCTTTTTGGAGCAACCCACGAAGGCCCATCTCAGGTACAAACAACATGTGGTACGATTGCAGAGTTCAGTCTCAGCTGCGTTGGCCCACACTCGGTAGGGCCTGTCCAAATTTCCCTGAGTGGTGACGCCCTTGTCCATTCCAGCTACTTTCAGCCTCGCCCAGCTCGGCACGCACCTGAGTATGCGATTGGGGGCTGTGCCGGAGGCCTCCTCCTCCTCCCCCTCCCCCTCCGCCTCCCCCTTCCCTTCCTCTCCCCTTTCTTGGGCACGGCTTGCCAATCCGTTCCAAAACGGTCCACACTGAGCACCCAAATCGGGCGCGGCTCACGAGCTTTCGGGTCCATATCTTCGAGCCACCGTTTGCAAGGCCTGGGCCCGCCTTTCGCTAGGAAAAAGGATGTAGCACGAAAACCTGGGGGAAGCGATCTCTCTGCACATGCTCAGCGTTGGCACACACCTGTTTCTCCAAGGTCACCTCAGGCGGTTTTGTCGCACTCCCGAGGCCCTGAGCGGGGGGGGGGAGGTGGGGCCGATGGAGCGGCAAGCTGGCTTCACAGCCTTCTCCTGGTACAGTTATGTCGGGCCTGTCCCCCTACAGGGGGATTTTCGACGAAAAATGCAAAAATACCCTCACAATAATAAAACAGTAGTCCAAAAATAGTACAGGGACTATTTTTGAAGTATTTTTGGATCTTTTGGGGGTATTTTTATTTTTCGTCGAAAATCCTCCTGTAGGGGGACACGCCCGACATAATGGTACAGTCCTGCTTTCCGAAGGTCTCTGCTTTCTTTTTCCCCGACCTTGACGGGGGGGTCCCGTCTATTAGTATCCTTTTGGGTGGGTCTGGGGGACCCCCCCCCCGAAGTCTGGCCCCGGCCATGCGCGGAGCGCCGGCGGAAGGCGGCAGAAGTCCGGGGCCGAAGACGGCCGGAAAGCGAGCAGGTCGGGCCTCGGGCAGCGTCGTGGCCTCCCAGGAGCCTTTCAGGAGTCAGGAGGGAAAAAACACACAGACACAATTAATCGTCGATCCCCAAGAAAATATGGAAAAATATGGAAGTGGTGGGGAAGACAACACCTAGAAAATATGGGGAATCCTTTAATTTGCGTGTATTTATTTGCGTGTGTCAGGGCCCCTTCAAAGAGGGCGCACGGCGACTCAAGAGCGTTCCACGAGGGCCCAAGCCTGACGGCGGCCCCAGAGGTCCCAAGACGCCGCGAGAGGCCGCCAAGGGTTCCCCGAGGGAGCAAAAGTCGTCGCATTCCTTCCCAGGAAAGCATCGGAGTATTGGATATACCGTTCTTTCGCCTTACCGGCGTCCAAGACAGCACCAGAGGCCCCCGAGATCGCCCGAAGACGGCCCAAGACGCCCCCAAGAGGGCCCTAAGAGCCCCCTCCTCCTCCTCCTCCTCCTCCTCCTCCTCCTCCTCCTCAATCTCCTCTTCTTCCTCCTCCCTGCAGGGGCCCCCTTTCGAATGCTCGTCGTCGTCGTCGTCGTCTCCCTCACCATCCTCCTCATCACCGTGCCCCTCCGCAGCGATTTTTGGCTTGGGGCGTAGGCCGCTCGCGGGGCTCTGGCACCGTCCACCGCGGTCCATTGCGCAGACAGGTGGACACGGCGCAGGAACCATGACGAACCTGTCCGGAGTCTCCGACGGTCAGCCGGTAGCGGGATGCGACGACCAGAAGCGGCAGGAGTTTGCCAAGGATCTTCAGCAGGAAAAGAGCCCCGAACCCTTTGTGAGACACTTGCGAACGAATGTTCCAAAGGGTCAGGGTCCTTTTTGTTTTGCTGATCAGAGGAGGACTACGTTCACAGGGTCCCCGAGGGAGACGTCCGCCCGTCGCAGCATTTCAGCAACTTGCTGTTCAGCGGCGATCTGCTGAGCACGGCGATGGAGCTGGCGCTCCTGGTTGGCTTGACCCTTAGATGGTCTTCCAAACGCAGAGGTTGTCTGTTCCCCCGTTTTGATGATGTACGTTGGGTTATGCGTGTCATCGCTCGGACGTGTATGCTGTTCTCCGCAGGGTCACCGACAAAATCTGAAGCATCCTGGAGTGCCTTGGATCACCTTAAGAAAAACACGAAACCAAAGAGAGCACGTGCAGTGGACGAGCGAGCGATGGTACGCATACGTTTCAGGCACCGTCTTTGTTGCGCTTTCAGATCTGGATCGGCTCGTGGCCCACCTGCTCTTTCTGTCACTGCGGTTCAAATGCGTTGTTCCATATCGCAATGCCGAATGCCTGACGCTCACTTCTTGATGGTGGAGTGATTAATACGCGTTCTCAGAACCACTCAGGCCTGACCTCTGCAGCGGTCCTGCTTCCAGTGGACACCGTGAACGTGAGGGGCAGCATGCCGCTCTTGGAGGTGGCGGCGTTCTTCTGGTGCACGAGCATCGTGACGAGGGTGTACAATTCGTACCTCGAGGCGTGCTACTTTGCTTTCCCGCAGTACCGCACACAGCCGCCGAGCGATCATGCGCTGATCGACCGCAAAGACTTGTGCGGCCGTGACAGGGTCCAGCTTGAGCGGCTGGTGCTGCACGATCGGCTGACGATGCTGAGCCAGTTCGCCTTCGGCGTGCTCGTGTACTACTGCCTGCCGGGCTACTACCCCGCGGCGGAGGACGTGAAGGACAGTCTCCCCGTCAGGGTCGCGAAGCTCGCTCTGAACCACTATCTGGCAGCGCTGCCGCGCACGTCCAACACCGCGCCTGGGAGCATCGTCGCCGTCATCGCCCTCATCGTGGTCGTCGTTGTCGCCTTTCTCGTCGCCGTCGTCGTCGTATTCGTCGTCGGCGTCGTCGACGCATAGGTCGTCGTCGTCGTCTTCGTCGCCCTCGTCGTCGTCGGCGTCGTCGATGTCGCCGCCCTCGTCGTCTTCGTGGTCGTCGTTGTCGTCGTCGTCGTCGCTGCCGTCTTCCGCCAGGGACTTGCCTGCGCACGAGCTCAGGGAACGCTGCGCAGGAGCCGCAACAGACACCCTGCGACCCACGCACTGGGAGCGAGTAAGAACGGTAGCCGGGTTCGCGCCGCGTTGACGCGGCGGCAGCCCCAGCGCGGGCGTTCAAGGTTGAACGCCGCCAGGGGCCTAGATTCGCAAGATGTCGAGCGATCTGCGCTACCAGAAAGTCGCGATCGTTCGAGGTGGAGCGATCCACGCAGTGTCAGAAACTGCTGCCGACGTCATCGCGACGTGAACTTGCCGAAAGCGCTGGCGGGGCAGGCTGCAGCTTCCAACAGCCTGCCGCCAGGATGCCCACCTGGCAGCCGTGGCCATCACAGCTGGCCCAGCCCAGCCTGCCGCCTGCGGGGGCCTTCGGGCCGTCCTTCGAGGAACAGGGAGGAGGTGCAGACATGGCGGACTCCAAAAGGGCCGCGCCTTCGAGGATCGAGGGAGTTGCCTTCTCTTCGTTGGCGGAAGGGCGGCGGAAAGCGGCGGAAGGTACAACGAGGGCGGCTCCGCCGCCCACCTCCTCCCCTTCCTCCTCCCCCTCCTCCCCCTCCTCCCCCTCCTTCCCCTCCTTCCCCTTCTCCCCCTCCCCCTCCTCCCCCTCCTCCCCCTCCCCCTCCCCCTCCCCTCCTCCTCCTCCTCCTCCTCCTCCTCCTCCTCCTCCTCCTCCTCCTCCTCCTCCTCCTCCTCCTCTTGCTCCTCCTCCTGACTCGTCCTCCGTGGCTCCTCCTGCTGGCGGAATACGAATATGTTCACCAAGAGATGGCACGTTTGTTTTGCACGGGAAGAATCGAAGAAGAAAAGAGCACGTACACATACATGTTCGCCGTTCCACGCGGAGATCTTGCATCTGCGTTGGGGCCCCCTGGCGGCGCCTCCGGCGCCGCCCCTGGCGCTCTCCGCGCGCCAGGGAGGGGGGTCCAGCGCAAATCCAAGAAATCCGCGCGGACCGTCGAAAGTTAATGTTTATGTGTTTTGTCCTTCCTCTAAAGAATGAGCACGAAGTCGGACAGCATGTCTTGTTTGGTATGAACAGGGCTCGTTGTCGGTGCCGCCGCGGGCTTTGTCCTCTTTGAGGCAGAAGGCCACTTGCCCAACAACGGCCGCTGTCGGTTTGGGGCAGCATTTGTTGCTGGGCATCGTCTCCACATTTGCCGTACCCATGTGTAAAGACATCAAGAGGTACCGACACCGTTGCAGGGCTGACGCTGAGTCGGGCCCGTCCCTCTGCAGGGCGAAGATTCAACATAGGCAAGAGATAGTCTGGGGACGATGGTTTGACCATCTCTAGCTATGTTTACGCATGCTGTGGGTATTTGTTTTAGTCCCAAATCCGCCTGTAAGGAGACGCGCCCGACCTAAGGCTCGCCCCAGGCCCCTCCCCCTCCCCAGGAGCCTTGCGGGACCGCCAGGTGTGTCCCCGCCCGGGGCTCGCCAAAGCAGCCCCCCCCCCCGCCAAGAGCTATGCGGAGCCGCATGGCACCCGGCGCATCGTGGGCCCCGCTTGTAGCCGCTTTGTGGGCCCATCTTGGAGCTTGGAGGCCATTCGGGGGGGATCTTGGGGGCCTCTTGGGCCGCCATGAAAGCTCTTTAGACCGCAAGGGCAGACATACCATAGCCCATAGCCCCCGAAATTGCGGATAAGAGTGAGAGGGTGGTGGAGGATCGTCGGCAGTCTTCGAGGCTCTGAAGCAGCCCACCGCAGGCGTTACTTTTGTCATACGCGCATTAAATACACACCGAGCCCGCCGCAGGCGCCAAAGGAGGAGGCTGAGGAGGAGGAGGTATAAGGAAAAGGAGGAGAGCGAGGAAAGGAGCAGCAAGCAAGGAAGGAGGGAGGCAAGAGGGAGGGAGCAGGATGAAAAGCTAAAGCAAATCAGCAGGAGGGGGATGAGAGAGGGGCCATAATTTTGGCAAGCGGGCCCTGACGGCTGGGTCGGGCGGGCTGGCCACCGTAAATCTCATGCGAGAGCGCGATTCTTGGGCGCTAAGACCACGGCGCTTGAACAAGTCACCAGGAGGTCCCCAGCGAGAGCGCGAGTCCTAGGTAGATTGGAAAGGTCTCGAGAGAAAGCGCCGATGTTTTATGAAGTGAGAGGAAGTATCACGCGGGAGCTCATGTTGTCGTAGTCTGGAGGCCAACAAACCAGTGTGAAGCTCAAGCTTAGTCTTCATAATCAGCAAGATTCGAGCCCCATCTGACGCATTAAATTGAAAAATAGCCGATGGGCAACAGACAAGGGGATCAAGATAGTCATTGTTCAGACATGAGATGTCAACAACAGCAACCCTGACCGTGGAAGCACACGTCGGACACGTACCCAGGGATGGTGTCTGACCGATCGACACCATCACTGACGACCCAGCTGCCTACGGCAAACCCGCCACTGTGTCTGTGCATCAGCGCAGCAGGAAGGTTGCTGAGTGTAGGAGCATCGCAATTCTTGCGAGTGGTCTGAATTTGGACTAATCGTGAACTCGACCTCGTCTTCGCCCGCGCGGTAGGAAGGAGTTCGAGTTCACGCCCCGCGGCACTTCAGCGAGTGGTCTGAATTTGGGAGGGTCGTGATCTCGACCTCGTCTTCGTCCGCGCGATGAGCAGGAGAAGGAGGATGAGGAGGAGGAGGAGGAGGAGGAGGAGGAGGACAGGGAGAAAACGAGGACGAGGAGGAGACGGCTTCTCGGGGCCCTCTTGCGACATGTTGGGAGCTTCCTGAGGGTCTCTTACGGGCCTTTTGTCGGCCTCCTGGGGTCTCTTGGGGGCCTCTTGGGGTTTATTGGGGCGTGTTAGGGGGCTCTTGGCTCGTATGACGCCTTCGGAGGCCGTCTTGGGAGCCTCTCTGGGCGGTCCTGGTGCCTTCTTGGTGCGCTTTAGGGCCGTCTTGGGAGGCCTTTGGGCGATCTTTGGGTCCTCTTGGGCCGACTTGGGGGCATCTTGGGCTGCCGTGGAAATTATCTTGGCGCCTCTTCGAGGCCCCTTGGGCCGTCTTCGGCGGTCGGAACCCCCAACCGGCAAGAGCCTCAAAATTCATTGAAACATCTCAGGAGCATCGTTTCGTTCTGGGCCGTCTTGAAGCCCTCTTGGGCCGTCTAGAAGCCCTCTTGGACCGTCTTGCGGACCTCTTGGACCGTCTTGAGGCCGCCTTGGGAGCCTCTTGAGCCGTCAAGGGCCGTCTTTGGGTAATCGTGGTTGTCTTGAAAACTCTCTTGGAAGCCATATTGGCCGTCTGGAGGCCGAAAGAGAGCCGAACAATAAATTCAGGGGGGACGATTTTCAATGCACCCTCGCGGCGAGGAGGGGGGGGGACCTCAGAACATGTTCCAAAACCTGCCACGTAACAGAAGAGCATTCTAACACTTGGCATCGCTCGGACGTGTGCATTTTTCCTTCGGCGAGGACCATCGAGGATCATCCTGGATCATCTGGCGAAAAAAACACGCACGAAATCGGAAAAAAACACAGGGAATGGACGTCCGAGCGATGGCCAGAACACGCCCCAGCGGGCAAAAGACCCAGTAGCGGATCACCACCTAAGATCGAGGTGTTTGAAGGAGTTTTTGTTCGTGGGCTCGCCAGACAATCCAAGAGCCTCTGGGCCATCCTAAGGCCTTGGAGAAAAATTATGCGGCACACCCCGAGAGCGCCCGGGAGGTCCTCCGGGTGGGGGGCCACGGCCTAGGGCCCTTGACAAGCATCTGCAGCGCTCCACATTGACAATCCGCAGGGACTGGAGGACACTACATTCAATACTTGAGGCACGGTGGCGGATATCCAGCATCAGACCGAGAAAGTTGATTGGGATGTTTGGTACGGGGCCTTGGGCACTGCGCCGCACGAAAGGATAGGCGCACAGAAGTACAGGGTGCTTGAAGCACGCCCACCGCTGCAGATGCAGCGGCGGACGTCATGTCCTTCGGCATGTACTGGGGCCATCGAGCTTACCACGTCAACCCCTGGCTCTGGAAGAACCTGCACTCGGTCCACCACTGGGCCCGGCACCCGCTGTCGCGGAACACGTACCAGGAGTTCGGGGGCGGAAAAGAGGGGGGTGATGATTAGGGGGGGGTGGATATCATGGCGTGGGCCATGATATTCCCCCAGATTTCATGGCGCCTCTTCTTATTTCATTACGTCCCTGGCCCGCCCGCTGGGCCGCGCACATGCCGCCGGTCATGATTTGCACCCCCCCCTCTTGAACACCCCCCTCTTGGCCGCTCCCGAGGAGTGCCCCGCCTCGCTCCTCCCTTTTGGCCGTCTTCGCTTGTCCTCCTCCCTCCTCGAGCCGACCGACGGCGGCCCCGCCTCCAGGCACCCTCCTCGACGCCCGGCTCTTCTGGGCGCTGGGAAAGTCGGCTGCGTGCGCTTGATTCGAGAGCTAGGGGGCCACGTGCGAACCCTGCCCCTGCCCCATTGCCTTCTGAGGGGGAGGGTGGGGTTCACTTCGTTCCGGAGCTCCCGAGCGAAGTGAACCCCACCCTCCCCTCAGAAATCGTGGGGGGTAGGGGCCTTTGTGGGCCCCCGAAACGGCAGGGCCGTTTTTTCACGGTTTCCCCAAAAATGTCCCTTGAAAATGGGAACGGCAAAAAAACGGCGACCGGAAACGGCAAAAAAAACGAGCCGGAACCGTTAAAAAAACGGCGTCGGAACCGGCAACAAAAACAGCAAAACGGAACCGGCAACAAAACGGCCTTGTCGTTTCCAGGGCCCACTAAGGTAGGGGCAGGACTCGCACGTGGCCCCCCTACATCTTGCTGGACCCTGACGCCCGCCGATTGGGCGGGCTTTTTCGGTCCTCGGCCCCGGAGGGCTCGACCGCTCCGCTTGCCCAGGGGAGATTGTCGGTCCCGTATCCTTACGTCGGGCGTGTCCCTCTACAGGAGGCGCACTTAAAGATAGTAACGAGTCGTCTGGGGACGTTTTGTTTTACTACCTTTGAATATGTTGGAGCATCTTTTGCCTACTGTTTCTTTCATCCCAAATCCGCCTGTAGGGGGACATGCCCGACCTAAGCGCATCCATGTTCGAAGGCCCCCAGGGCCCCGATCCACAGGCCCCGGAGGCCTAAGTCGGGGCAAAACTCGCGGATTGAGAAGACCATCTCGTGGGAGATTTGGGCGCCCTTCTTCGTCCGACCCGATTCCCCCGTGAGGACCACTGGCTCGAGAATCTCATCAATCATGTTGCTGGGCACTTCGCCGCACAGGTCCTCTGCCCCATCGACCACGGGTGCTTCTGGGTGTCGCACGTTTTTCGCATCCTGGAGAGTTTGGAGAAGCATTCTGGCATCAGCTGCTACCTGAACCTCGCGCACCAGACACAGCGCTGGCTGCCCTACGCACAGATGCCACATCACCACGACTGGCACCATGAGGGGCATAAGTCGTGCAACTACACGTTTTCCGCGCTCGGCGGCGTGTGGGATTGCATATTCGGCACGCGCAAGATCGGCCGTTGTGAGGCAGCGCCAGACCAGATGACACCCCACGACCGTTCTCTTGCTGCTTCCAAAGCCCGTGGCTTCAAGACGCCGATGCTTGATGACCCGAACATGTGCCTCGTGCCGTCTACCCTGGTTATGTTGACCGTGATGTGGAAGTTGAGCAGCGGTGGACAGTGAATTAGCGCGTAATCAACCCAGGAATGCCACATCGGGGTTCTCGTGAGTCACTTTCTCAAACGTTTACCCAATTTTACTGGAACGCCGCTCGGCGTTTCGTTCCAGGGATCGGGCTGTGCGTGCGTATCCTCCTTGAGAATTTTCCAACGGCGGTTCGCGATACGCCAACATTTTCTTTGCATGTATCCTGCCAACCCTTAGCCGGCCAAATTCCACTAAATGGTTCGCCGGTGATTGGGAGGATGAACAGAGACAGTGCATCCAGAGGTACTTTTTAGCACGTCTTTGCATTCATAGTGTCCTAAAGACCGTTGCACATACAGATGCCTTGATTTGGAGCGCAAGCAACAAGCCATCATCGGCATCATCGTCATCAGCAGCATCATCCTTTTGATATTGATTCCTCTCGCTTCGCGGGGTGCACGTCCAGGAGCACGCACAGTCCAGTCGTTGCGGGGCCTCTTGGGAGCTTCTTTGTGGCCTCTTGGGGGTGTCTTGGGGGCTTCTTGGGGCCTCTTCTGCACTGGGGTGTGGCGCTCTTGCGGCGTGTGGCCCATTTGGAAGCCGGTCTGGGGGCCTCTCGCGGCCGTTTTGGGGCTTTCTTGGGGTCCTCTTGAGTTGGGCCGTCTTAGGGCCCGTTTTGGCCGTAATGGAGGCTTTTTTCCCTACCTAGGCTCCGCCTAGAAGGGTTCTTACTCTCTTGGCTTAAAGGGCCGGGCAGTGGGCTCCGCCCCGGGCGGTTCCCCCGGTCCCCGCCCCGCGGTTCCCCCAGTTGCGCCCCCTTGCTTTAGCTTTAGTATTAGTTTTAGCTTTAGCTTAGCTGTAGCTTCAGCTTAGCTTTAGCTTAGCTTTAGCTTAGAGTTAGCTTAGCTTTAGCTTAGATCTAGCTTAGATTTAGCTTAGATCTAGCTTAGCTTTAGCTTAGGTTTAGCTTAGCTTTAGCTAAGCTTTAGTTTAGGTTTAGTTTAGCTGTAGCTTAGGTTTAGCTTCGATCTAGCTTAGGTTTAGTTTAGATGTAGCTTAGCTGTAGCTAAGCTTTAGTTTAGGTTTAGTTTAGCTGTAGCTTAGGTTTAGCTTTGATCTAGCTTAGGTTTAGTTTAGATGTAGCTTAGCTGTAGCTTAAACTTAGCTTTATGTTTAGCTTATATTCAGCTTAGCTGTAGCTTAGGTTTAGCTTAGCTGTAGCTTAGGTTTAGCTTAGCGGTAGCTTAGTTTTAGCTTAGGTTTAGCGTATTTTTAGTTTAGCTTTAGCTTAGATTTAGCTTAGGTTTAGCTTAGCATTAGCTTAGAATTTCCTTAGCTTTAGCTTAGCTTTAGCTTAGCTTTCGTTTAGTTTTACCGTACTATTAATGCTGCTTTCCTAGGGGCTCCAACTCCTAGGTAGGGTCGCACTGGGATAATGAGGGTTTCTTGGGCCGTCTTGGGGCCATTTTGGAGGCTGCTTGGGCCGTCATGGGCCTCTGAGAGTCGAAAAAGGCGAGAACGTTACCGTGCCTGGGTAGTGGGTCAGAGTGGCGGCCCGTCCCGCCACCGTGCCTGGGTAGTGGGTCAGAGTCCTCAGGGATGGTCCTTAGGGTCTCTTCGGAGAGCTCTCGGAAGCCTCTTGGGGGCCTCTTGGGGGCTGATTGGAGGCCTCTTGGGACTTCTTGGGGTAACGGAAAGAGCGAGGTACGAGTGATGCCGTTCTGGTGTGGGCGAAGCCCTAAAGGGAGGGGTTCCAGGGGAGGGGGGTAGCGGGCGCATTTGCGTGTTAATGGCCGTGTTCGGGCTTTCCCTAGGGTTTTGCATGTTTTTCGGGTTCCCCCCCAAGACGGCCCAAGAGCGCTCCAAGAGAGCCCAAGACCGCCCAAGACGGCCCAAGAGGCCCCCAAGAGGCGCCCAAGGGGCGTCCCAACAGGGCCCCAAGACGCCGAAATCATTGATTTTCCAAAGGAAAACGTATATTTTTAGCATGTGCGCTTTGTCGGCTTACACGGCGTTGACGACGGCCCAAGAGGCTCCCAAGACCGCCCCAAGACGGCCCAAGGGGCTCCCAAGAGGCCCCCAAAACGGCCCAAGAGGGCGCCAAGACGGCCCAAGAGGCGCCCAAGACGGCCCAAGAGGGCCCCAAGACGGCCCCAAGAGGGGGACCACGAACCGAAAAGACTAGCCTTTCGCCCCAAGAAGCTCCCAGGAGGCCCCCAGAGCCCCCCAAGAAGCCCCAAGAGGCCCCCAAGAGGTTCCCAAGAGGCCTCCAAAAGGGCCCGACAAGGGCCCCAGTAGGACTCCCAAGAAGGCCCAGAGACGCCAAATAGAGAGCGATCGGTAACGCAAAAGCTCTTCACACCAAGGCTCCCAAGAGCGAACGGTGACGTAAACAAGCTGATAAGACCAAGGCTCCCAGCAGAGAGCGGTGACGTAACAAGTTCCTGACACCAAGGCCAGCCAAGGCTCAGGAACGGGCGGCAACGCAACAATCTCTGAACACCAAGGCTCCCAAGAGCGAGGGGTGACGTAACAAGCTCTCAACGCCAAGGCTCCCAGTACGAACGGTGGTGTGAGTAATTCCGGTTTCTGTTTCTGAAGCGCTCTTTCCGTTTCTGTGCCGGGCCAGGTCTTCTTGGGGCGCCTCTCGGGAGTCTACTGGGCTTCCTGGGGGCGTCCTGCCGCTGTGGAGAAGTGCTCAGCTGTGAGAGGTGTGGGCGTTGGTCGGCGTGACCTGCTCGGCTGCCGCGCGTGCGTGCCGCTCCGCGCTGCCGTCCCCGAGGATTCTGGGCGGCCCCATGGGGGGCTCTTGGGAGCCTCCTGAAAGCCTCGGGGGGGCTTCTTGGAGCTCGCGCCGGCGTGGGGCGCTCTCGCGCCGTCTGGCCCCTGCGGAGGCCATCTTGGAGGCCTCTCGCGGCCGCCTTCGGGCTCCCTTGGGGTCCTCTTGGACCGTCTTGGGGGCCCCTGGGACCGTCTTGCGGGCCTCGTTTGGCCATCTCGGGGCCTTCTTGCGCAATCCTGGGGCCCCTTTTGGGGCCTCGTTGGCAGTCTTGGGGTCTTCTTGGAGGCTGCTTGGGCCGTCATGGTCCTCCGAGAGCCGAAAAATGGCGAGAACACTAAAAACGTTCAAAGACCAGCGGAAAGTCAATGGTTTTGGCTCCTGGAGGCGCTCCTTCGAGTCCTCTTGGGGCCCACTTGAGCCGTCTTGGGGGCCTCACTGGCTCTCTTGGGACCATCTTGGGCCGTCTTGGAGCCATATTGGGCCATCTTGAGGCCCTCTTGGAGTCCCCCGAGGCCCCAGAGGCCCAAATCGTAGATGTCTTATGATTTGCGATTGGTTTCGAGAGCCCGAGAAGGGGGGCGTCCATCTTGGGTCGGCGGAGTGGCGCGACTCCAAGGGGGGGTCGGGAGGGAGACGTACGAATGTAAAACAAAACAACGTGTTGCAATTATTCAACGATTTGGTGCATTGGATACGTTGCAGTATCGCCTCCGCAGACAACGCTGCCGCTCAGCACGTCACTTCCAGACGTGGGTTCTTGGGTTTACGCCACACCGCCGACCCCTTGAGAAATTGGCGGTTGTTGCGTGGTGTTCCTGTGGGTCTCTTGTGCGCGGGGGTTTCTTGGAGTTCTTTGGGGGCTTCATGGGGGCCTTCTCGGGGCCTCTTGGAATGGCATTTTCAGCATTCGCCGTGCACGCATGGGGAATGGGGCGAGAACCCACGTATACAGACGGAGGGCATCTGTCAAAACACCCGACGAATGATTATCGAAGACGCCTACGGCGAATCACCGCCGCCCCCTGTCTTTTTAGAAGCGCCTATGTGGCCGAACGTTGAGGCCAGCCGTGCCAAGCTATCGGACCATGTGTTCCCCGAATCGGTTTGAAAAGCTTTCGGGGAACACGTGGGCATCTTGAAGGTCATCTTGGCCGTCTGGAGGCAGTTTTGCCCCTTTCGGGCCTCCTTGGAGAGCGTCTTGGAGGGCTCTTGGGCCGTCTTGGAGGCCATCTTGAGCGTCTTGGACGCCTCTTGGGCCGTCTTGGGGGCCTCTTGGGGCCGTCGTGGGCCTCTTGGGCGATCTTTGGGGGCACTTGGGCTGTCGCGGGCCGTCGGAAGGCCGAACAAAAAAGCAAATGTCACAATCCTTCAGAATTCATTGGAAATCAATGATTTGGGCCTTTTCGGGCCTTCTTGGGGGCCCTTTTGGAGGCCTCTTGGGCCGTCTTGGGCCATCTTAGGGGTCTTAGGGCCATCTTCGGCAGTCTTGGTGGGCTCCTGGCCCGTCTGACGCCGTCGGAAGCCGTTTGGGGCGCCTCTCTGGGCCGGCTTGGGGCCCTCTTGGAATGCTCTTGGGCGTCTTAAAGGCCTCTTGGGCCATTTCGGCGGCCTCTTGGGGGCCTCTTGGGCCGTTCTCGGGCCATTTTGGAGGCCTATTGGGCGATCTTTGGGCGATCTTTGGGAACTCTTGGACCGTCTCGGGCCGTCGGAAGGCCGAAAAGAAGCAACTGTCAAAATCCTTCAAAAACCCATAGCAAAATCAATGTGTTTGTACCTTCTTCTGGCCTTCCTGGAGGCCCTCCCCTCTTGGAGGCCTCTTGGGCCGTCGTAGGCCAGCTTCGAGCCAACTTCGGCCATCTTGGTGGATTCCTGGCCCGTCTGACGCCGTCTTGGGGGCCTCTCTGAACCGGCTTGGGGCCCTCTTGGGGCGCATTGGGGCCGTCTTGGAGGCCATCTTGGGCGTCTTGGAGGCCTCTTGGCCCGTCTTGGGGCCCTCTTGGGGCCGTCTTGGGGGCCTCTTGGGCCGTCATGGGGCCATCTTGGATGCCTCGTGGGCGATCTTGGGGGCCTCTTGGGCCGTCTTGAGCCGTCGGAAGGCCGAAAAGAAGCAAATGCCATCTTTCAAAACCCTAAGGAAAATCAATGATTTTGGCCTATTCGGGCCCTCCTTGAGGACCTCTTGGAGGCCTCTTGGATCGTCTTGGGCCGGCTTGGAGGCTTCTTGGGCAAACTTGGAGGTATCTTGGACTCCTTTGGGCCGTCTTGGACCATCTTGGGCGGACGTGGCTGCCATCTTGGACCATCCTGGAGGCCATCTTGAACGAAACATTTGGGAATTGAGCTCCTTGAGAGCCTTTCCGGGTGGCCGGCGGGACGCGCCAGAGCCCCAGGGGGGAGCTCTTTTGGAAAAGAACCAAAACCAAAACCGATAGGATCCAGCACGCCAGGCACCCCTGTGATAAATCACAAGGGGGCGGCGGATCGAAGACGCCTACGGCGAATCACCGCCGCCCCCTGCCTTTTTAGAAGCGCCTACGTGGCCGAACGTTGAGGCCAGACGTGCCAAGCTATCGGACCATGTGTTCCCCGAATCGGTTTGGAAAGCCTTCGGGAACACGTGGGCATCTCGAAGGTCATCCCTGCCGTCTGGAGGCCATTTAGACCCTTTCGGGCCTTCTTGGAGGGCGTCTTGGAGGGCTCTTGGGCCGTCTTGGAGGCCATCTTGAGCGTCTTGGACGCCTCTTGAGCCGTCTTGGGGGCCTCTTGAGGCCGTCTTGGGCCTCCGCCTCCTCCGCCTCCTCCGCCTCCTCCTCCTGCGCATCCTCCGCCTCCGCCTCCTCCTCCGCCTCCTCCTCCTCGTCCTCCTCTTCTTCCTCCGCATCCTCCCCCTTCCCCCCCCTCTCCCCCCCTCCTCCTCCTCCTCCTCCCCCCTCCTCCTCCCCCTCCTCCTCCCCCTCCTCCCCCCTCCTCCCCCCCTCCTCCTCCTCCTCCTCCTCCTCCCCTCATCATCAGCAGCAGCATAATCATCATCAGCAGTATCATTACCATTACCACCATCATCATCATCATCATCATCATTCCTACTTTCTCCTTCCCCTTCCCCTCCTCCTCCCCACCCCTCCTCCATCTCCTCCTCCCCTCCTCCTCCTCCCCTCCTCCTCCTCCCTCCTCCTCCTCCTCCTCCATCCTCCTCCTCCTCCTCCATCTCCTCCTCCTCCTCCTCCTCCTCCTCCTCCTCCTCCTCCTCCTCCTCCTCCTCCTCCTCCTCCTCCTCTCCCTCCTCCTCCTCCTCCTCCTCCTCCTCCTCTCCACACCCCCTCCGCGGCAGGCTCCGACGGCGCCCACGCCCCCGGCGCCGGGGCGGGGCCCCCCGCGGCCAGCGCGCGCCCAGAGGCGCCGACCGCGTGCGGCGGCGGTTGCTCAGGGTGGTCTTCGTTGTCGTCGCGGCTGCCGTGTACAGTTCAGGAGGAGGAGTAGGAGGAGGAGGAGGAGGAGGAAGAGGGAGAAGGAGGAGGAGGTTGAGGAGAAGGAGGAGGTTGAGGAGGAGCAGGAGGTTGAGGAGGAGGAGGAGGAGGTCGCCGTGGTTTTTGATGCCGTCGTTGGTCGGGAAGGCATGCGCATCGGTCGTTGAAAGGTGCCCTTGGATTCCCAGATTCCAATCGACAGCTGGCGCCTTCCTGCTTCAATCATCGAGTGGCTGTCCCTCCTCCTCCCTCTTTGGAGGGGCTTGCGGGATTCCCGACTACTTCATGGCTCTGCCTACCTCTTCTGACCGATAGGTCAGGTAAACCCGGATCTCCGACGTCCTGTCCTCCTAGATGTCCAGGCGGTTTCGGCTGCGTCTCGTCGCGGGCGTTCCAGGCGTGCACGCAGCGTCCCGAACGGATGCGGGAGAACCGAGTTACGGTCCTCCCCGTGGTCGTTGTCGTTGTGGTTGCGGGGCGTGGTTCAGCGGTCGAGGAAAGGCATAAAGTCAGAGGAGGAAAGGATACCGAGACCGCCGCCCTGGCATCTTTTTCCCCCTTCCTTGACCTCCTGGGAGGCCATCGTCGCCACGGCTGGAGTCGCGTCGAAAAAAATATGGTCAGAGAGCACCCTTTGACAGGTCCGGGGACTCTCGCGGTATCAGCCTTTGTCGGATTCCCAAAGAAGATCTGTTTATTTCGCCATCGTGGAGCCCTGCCCCTGATCGGCAGCTCATACCCAACAGGTGCCACGCAGGATATAATTGTTCTATGCCTCTTGGGCCAGGCGCCCCTGACGGCAGAAAAAGCTGTACGTTACGCCGTCGTTCATTAACTAAGTGATGGTGTTCGGGCCCAATGCCCGAGCAGCCGCAGCAGCGGCGTGGTGCGCCGTTGCGGCGGTCGTCGCAGCAGCGGCAGCGGTGATGGTGACGGCGATGGTGATGGTAGTCTTCGCCGTGGTCGTGGCCGTCGTTGTGGTCGTGGTCGTGGTGGTCGTCGTGGTCGTCGTGATCGTGGTGACAAGTGTCGCGGCGATCGTCGTGGAAGTGGCAGTGGCGCAGGGCAGCGGGATCAGGGCAGGGGCGGTAGCGGCGGAGGCCGCGGAGGGGGCGGCGGCGGCGGCGGCAGTGGCGGCGGCCGGATGTCGCAGGGCAGGACGGAGCCAGAAGAGGCGGGCAGGGAAAAGGCCCTCTGCGCCCCAGGGGGCGCGAGGATGTGCCGCGCGCCGTGGTCTGGGCCAGAGCGACTGCCCCTCTCCCACACCTCCAGGCGGGACCCCACGGCACCCGGCGGCCAACGGGCGGCTCCTGGGGCACTGGGGGCGGCCAACGGGCGGCTCCTCCAGACAGCCCATCGCCAGTCCATGCTGCCTGGGCTGCGACTTCGCCTGCTGCTGCTGCTGCTGCTGCCACTGCCCCTGCCGCTGCCGCTGGCCCTGCCGTCCAGCTCCTCATGCTCCTCCTGCTCCTCCTCCTCCTCCTCCTCCTCCTCCTCCTCCTCCTCCTCCTCCTCCTCCTCCTCCTCGATAGGACCCCATGGCACCCCACCACCCCGTCGTGCCAGCGGTTGGCCCGAACATGGCTCGCTCGCGCCCGCGCGCCCACCGGCCACGCCGTGTGTGCTGCAGCACGCGGCCAGGCATTCGTAGGGGCCCCGCCGGGCGTGCCGTCTTGGCGCCACCGCCAGCCCGCCGCAGAGCGGCTCCGACGCGCTCGCACGCGCAGCAGACGTGCGAGCGCAGAGGCCTCACATCGAGGCAGCTAGGCTCGTGGGAGTCGATTAGTGGATAGGGAGCATCTGCCAAATAATTTCCAGATGTCTAAAACATCGTTGCAAACATGTTTTAAATATGTAAAGACAGGTTTGATACATTTTGATAACATGGTTTACACATGTTCAGCACATGGTTAATTCAATGATCGGATTGTTAGAGTGTCCATTGTGATGGCATCCACAAATCTAGGCCTCCCTAGTGTTAAGTCGGGGCTGTCCCTGTACAGGAGGAACATTCAAAAATAGCCCCCAAAAAAGTATGGGAACGATTTTCAAAACATGCATATGTGTTATAGTATCTTTTCAGTATTCAAAAATTTGTGGTCCAAGATCCGCCTGTAGGGGGACAGGCCCGCCCTAACCCTAGTGAGGTCCGAGTAGAGTGGGTCGGTGGATCGCGCCGCATGGCCGATGCATCGGGGATGCAACTCCATGTGGAGCCCGATTTTCTCCACGCCGGCGTCGCCGATGCATCGCCGTCGTCGCCAATGCATCGTCGAAGCATCGCCGATGCATGGGCGATGCATCGGCGATGCGGCGCGATCCACCGACCCCCATCCAGAGCAAAGGCGGGAGGCCTCCACCACAGCAGCCTGCGGATGGGCCGGCAACTGCTGCAGACCGAAGGGGGTGCCAGCTAGAGGACTGCAGCATCACACGACCACGGCAGGCGGCAGGCACTACTCAGGAGGGGAGAAAACACACAGACACAATTAATCGGCGATTCCCAGAAAGTATGGGAAAATATGGGAAGTGGGGGGGAAGACAAAAACCCAGAAAATATGGGAAAAGATTGGGGATATTTTTATTTGTGTGTATTTATTTGTGTGTTCCAGTTCCCCTTCAACCACGTCGCACGCGGTCGGCGGATTCACGATCAGAAGCGTCTGCACTTGGCACAGCGTCCGCGGACCCGGCGCCCGGCGGGCACTGGGTCAGGAGCACGGTTGAACGCACATCGAGCGATTTGCGCCATCGAAAAGCCGCGATCGTTCAAGGCTGAACGATCCACTCGGTGTCAGAGACCGGCGTAGGAGTCGCCACGACATGAATTCGTCGTAGGAGAGCAGGTTTCCTGTTCGCATTGGGCGCTGGAGCGCAACAAGAGGTAGCGCAAGGAAGTGGGGAAGGCCGTGCATTCGGCGGCGACCAGCAGGCTCAAGGCCGAGGAGCAGATCGACCGTCTAGGTGACGCCATTGAGCACCTCCTCGAGGCGGCAAGCGCGGTGAATAATGACATGCAAAGTTCGCACGACAAGGGTGCGCCAAGGCCTCAGGGCGGTCACGGCGCCATGATTGGCGCCCTCGGTGGGCTCGCCTGCAGGCCCTTGGCTTCCCCAGGTCGTACAGCCCATTCTCCAGCGCGCTGGCCCCGCGCTCCGAACCGCTCCGAACTCATCATCGACATCCCCCGACATGTCGCCCTTTTTTGTCTCTATATATAGGCCTGCTCTTTTGTGTACTTGCGAATTGCCTTCTAGCGTGTATTGTAAATGCACCCACCGTGCACGATGAGCATTCTGCTTTCGACCATCTGGATTGTAGGCCTGATGTAGGAGAGGAGAGGGAGCGCGATCAGCTAAACACACCGCTGGCACGACACGTGCCAGCGTCGGTTGACAGTCCGAACCTGCAGAGGCCTGGTGAGTTCCGAATGGAAACATAAGCCTCGAACGGTGCGAAGCGTTGCGATGGTGATTCCCGCTCTCAGCCTCAGTCTCCATCCATCTCACATGCTACCAGCAGCGTCCCCTCATTTCCCCTCTAAAGGGCGCGGTTGGTTATTCAGATCCCTTTATGGTGTCCGCCATATACATAAATTTACAGGTGTTGTATATTATTTAAGTATATATATGTGGAAATTGCATGTTCATGGAAGTGGCCTTTCGTCGACCCCGGCAAGTCACCCCCGACCTCAGAATGCAAAACTGGAAAGAAAACGCATCAAGAACATGCGGGGTACCCCGATGCTTATTGCATGGTGCACACACGTTTCTCCCGAGCGGTGCCATGGAGGACGACGCTGCCAAGAAGGTCAGGCGTGGTTTCGGAGATTGGGCCCTACACGGATACCCAGACAGTTTTAAGATTGAACAGTTGCGAGACGTCCGTTGTGTCCCGGCCACCTGGCTAGCCCAAGGAAAGGTGAGCGAGCCCATGCGGGCATGTGTTTACACGCCGAGTGTCCTTCCAAGGGTTGCACTTCGTTCACACGCAGCATGTTCATACGGATTATACACACGATACCCCCAAGGTGGTCAAGCCAGCGTCGCAAGCGCCCACTCTCGGGACAGTATCATGTACCTCCTCTGGCGCAATTACTTACTGCAGTTGGAGCATCCACGTTGGTTACCCCCGGACGTTCCAGCACGGGCAGCATGCTCTGCGTTGCTGCCTCCACTGCATGTGGGCCACGGTGTCTGGGCAAGGCCCGGGCCAGCCGTACAGTTAGCAGGCATGCGTGGCACGGCGGCGCGCCACGATAAACAAAATAATATCATTTTGCAGCATCTACGGCTGCTGGGCTCTACGCGCACAGGCTCTGGGTATAAACAGTGGCAACGTTGCACGCCTTGGCCCATCATCAGTTTACCAATTGCCCGTGGCACTACTGAACACGTGCCTCGGCACGAGCTGCTCACAGTTGAAAACCCCCACCCCCCGACCCAGCCAACTACAGGGAACCATCGTGTTCCGCAGGCGAGGCGCATCGGGCCTCTTCCAAGATTTCGCAAAGCCCGATATTCCACGAAAGAATTTAGACTCGACCTCATCAGAAAGATCCAGGCGTATCACAACATGCGACAGCGCATGTTGCACACGCACCCATGTTTTCCATCCCTCCTTTCTTGGTGATAACGTTTGTTATTGTCTGTTGCACGCGCGGTCCACCATGCATGCAGGAGGAGTGGAGGTTTGGCTGTGCATCTATCTCTTCGAGGATTGGCAAAGCATCAACACCAGTGCCCATGTGGCAAATAGAAGCCTGCCACATTGTTCGTGGAAGCCTCTGTCTCGCAGTTCTTCAAAGATGCTTCGGTATCTCGTGGCTGCGAGTGCGCCAGTGAGCTTATGCGACGCGCCACAGCCGCCACAGGCGAGGGTGCAAATCTACCTACGCACGACTTGCAACGCGAGTTGGTGCCCGACGGA